GGGGGGGGGGGGATGTTTTTTGCTGTAGGTTTTATAAAGGATGCTTTGAACATACAAATCTCTAACCAAAGAGTGAGCATTTGCAATGACAGTAAACAAGAAATCTCAGGTAAAAGGGAATAAATAATAGGTCAAATAATTTATTTAGGCAAACAGCTTTTAAGGCACAAGGTACTTGATAATTCCAACAGGAGATAATAAAATTACATTAACAGTGCAACAGAAAATAAATGCTGCAGAAAAGCCTGTGTCAATAGTGCATTCTCTCCTCAAAAGCCTGGGATGATCAAAGTATTAAAACAAGATTCTGTGGTAAAGTTGGGGCTTTGTTAGGGCAGTAGGTATGGCAATCCTCTCGGACTGAAGGAAGGGACCTTTCGGAACTTTCTACATCATTAAAAATTATTTTAAGGACAGGTTATTCTAATTGTAAAGTCTAATTTTCATGCAAGTGCATCATTCCTCAGTATTAAGTACATTTTTAAGAACTCTCGTGATTTTTGTACATTTTATAGCCATTCAGTATCTACACTTGCCACTTTGCTTCTGTGAGGTTTTGACATAACAAAGAGAGTCAAACAAACTTAAAATCATACTTTACCGATTTTAATCCAGTGAGGAACTTGGTAAGGTGCAGGAGTCATCAATTATTTAAAAAAAAACACAGGGGCTTTTAAAAAAAAAAACAACAACAAAACAAAACAAAAAAAACCCAACACAAAACCAGACTGTATTTGCAATAAGAAAAAAAGAAAATACAAAGTTCCCCCTGCCAAATGTAAATAAACTTCTTTTTTGCCTGCATAATGCATATCCCTACCACCAGCACAAGCCAGACACTGGCTTTGTGCTATACTGAACATGAAATATTAATGTAAGATACCTATAAAAACTATCCTTCAGTTCACCCTCTATTTACAGGGTACAGAAGTAAATATCTTGCCCCTTGAATTCTCAGACACCTCAAAACCCCTCTGCACACTGCCCCACCTTTCCAGTATATGGTTTGTTCCTAAATAACCTTTGTGCAGTTAAAATACATCAGAAACAGGATGTGAGCTGCTTTCTGGCACAGAGTAATTGAACAAGGGCAATTCACAAATGTACAGGAGCCAGGCCTTTTGTGGAGTCTTACACTTCTAGTACACAGCTACACATGTGACCGCACAGTTGTGAGCATAAAGGGTGAAGGGGACGGTGAAGAAATACTATTAGAAGCATAATAATAGGTTTTTAGCGCTGCCCCTTCTACACAAGGAGCCTCTCCTGAAGGCTGGTCTGCTTTACAGTTCGTATCACTCTGTGATGGCCCTCCGAAAAGCAAAGCCCTCTCACAGTAGTAAGTTCTTTCTGGAAGATTTTAAACAAGCAAAACCAACAAACAACAAAACCCGAAACAATAGTAAAAAGGTTAAGTCACCAACATGTGTTTCTCACATGATGTTCATCTTGTTTCTGGTACCCGCGCAACATGCCCATAACATTGGAAATAAGATAGCCCATCGAGGCTCCTACAAACTGGTGTTGAAATGAAAGAGAAATCTCCATTGTAAATGAATTCCAATGGTATCAATTCATTTGACGGAATGAAGTTCTTCATGGCTCCGAGAATAAGTAGAAAGGAACGAAACAGCTACGATGCATTCATATGCAATTATGACCATTATAAACAAACTGCATGAGCCACCCAAGTGATAGCTGGGCTCACTATTAAAGCTTTCCAACTGCACACAGAATTTCACAACTTTCTAAGGAGCCATTAGAATACATTTTGTTTGCCTAAAAAAACCAAACACGCATGCAAATTGTCTCCTTTTTACAGAATCTAGTCCAATGATTTTTTAATTTTTTTAAATTAGAATTTTTCTCCCGTGAAGTTTAACAGACACACACAAAACCTGATCTCTAAAAAAGAGAAGTAGTATTGAAATAAGAGCTATTTAGGCCCAATACCTGAAACACAGCTGAAGCTGAATGGCCTAGAGTGAAGAGAAATCTTTACAAAACCTAAACTGAAAGCAGTGATCTTACTGTTGAGGCTAGAAAACACAACAGCATTCTTCTCTGAGCAGCATAAGTTTCAGTTTCCTACTTTTGCTTTATTTAAGTTCTTTGAAGGAAAGTTTTACATTTTCACCCCCTAAAGGAAGAAAACCACTTTCAAATGCCTTCTTCTGCCTCACAACAAATCCAGTTCAGGATGCACATAGAGAAGAGCAAAGACTACAAACTTTCAGGTAGAAATCTTACGATGACTAATGGTAAAATAATTATTAACAACAAAATATTGCTTAACGCGGCGTTCTGAATTACACACCACGTTAGCTTTACCAGTTAACTGAAAAATCACTGAAACCCATAATGGGATCCACTCCAAGTTCCTTGTCACTCAGGTCAGTATGGCTAAAAACTGGGAGTAATGACATAGTTGACCTCCAGCTGGTGGTAAGTACTCGGTGAGCAAGCACCTACCTTCTGCTGGACAACGGGTCTCTTAAGACCTTGAAGTGAGACTCTATACATGCTACTACACAACACGAAATCAAGGGATAAAAAGGTCGCATCATACTCCCTCTTTGTCAGCTCAAACTTCTAGCTGATGTAACTATCATAAAATAATCTAATTTCTCTACCACAGTAAGGTTGAAAGGTTTAAAAATATGAGAAGCACTTTTTTTTTTTTTAGTACAGAGTTTCATTTACTCAGCTACAGAATTCCTTTCTAGAAAATAATAATAAAAACTGCCCCCAAAGAAACAGCACGCAGGTATAAATAATATACCCAAAGCTTGTGATCTTTCTGCTAAAGTGTGGTAATTAACTTCTCCAACTAACATGGGTAGTTATGCACAATTTTTGTTTCTTTCTTTCAAGAACCTGTTCTTACTAGTAATTTAATGTCACTATTTAAATATAAAGTTTTATTATACACAATCACTAACAAGCTTAAAATATAAAAGTTTTAGCATGACACGTTAACCAGGTAGAAGTCACAAATTTTAGATTTTTAGGGTTGGATGGGGTTTTTTTTCCCCCAAGGCTTTGAAGAAGCATGTTATTTTCTTCATGAATTAAGCCTGAAAATAAGTCTCTTTTCATAAAAGTTAAACATTCCCCCTCTCTGTAGCACATCCAGCCTCACCAGATAGCTCCGGGAAAGCACAGGAAAGCCAGAGGAAGCTGACTTACAAAACTGAAACTAAGCAGGTGCCTGCATTGTTGGAAGTGAGCACAATGGGAAGGAAAAAAAAAAAAAAAAAAAAAGGTAAACAGACAGCCAAAATCCGTTTTATTTCCGATACCTAAAAATCTACAGCTAAGCCAAAAAGATGCAACTATCTATCTCTCTATACGGCTGTACAGGAGTATCTGTCCTTTCACCGGTAACAAGCAACAGCATACCTAGTTAAGAAAACTTCAGTGGCCCAGAGGAGCCTACCCACCCCTTACTAGAGCCCTGCCATCGCTGAGCGCATGTCCCCACCTGATTTTTCCACGCTCAGACCCAACCGTACATCACAGCACACAACTTTCTCGTGACACGCAAGTTATTACCCCCAGTGGGACCTTTTAACATGCAGTCTCTACAGTGAACAAAAGTTCATTGTCAAGCTCAGCGCTTGGGCCCAAACAAACATCCAGGGGGTAGGAGGGGGAGAAAGAGGGGAAGTGCTCCTATCCACAATTAAAAGATTTGCAGACAATCACCGTTACTTACAATTAAAAAGTGGGAACAGGTGTAGCAGATATCATACTTTGATAGCTGAACAAAGAATATTACAGCACGTGACTGAAATGTGATGACATTTGTTCACCAATCGAAAACAAAAGCCACTCTCCAATGGCACTCTTTCCTCCACCCTCAAGAATTAGGAACTTGGAAATCTCTCCATATTGAAACACATCTGTTCATAGCCTTATTTTTTGACACTTGAGGAGAAGTTGAATGAAGAGCTCCATGCATTAATCCAATACGAATCCACCTAAAAACCTCGGCGTAAAATCCTGCCAGCACCCACCAAACTGCAGAGGTAGCTGGGGGAAAAGCTCTACCAACAACGAAGGTCGGAATAATAAAGAAAAGAAAAAACCAAACACACACCACCAAAAAAAAAGGAAAAAAGAAAAAAAAATCCCACAGGAAGGCAAGTGAAGAAAGGAACATGCACAACAGGACTAGACCAAATGGCAGAGTCCCACATAGAGCCCCACTCCACCTACACAGGCGCAGGCGGGAGGGAAAAAACAAAAATAAAGAAGTAGCCGTCCCCAATGCCGGCAGCCGTGCCGGAGCAGGAGTGGGGAACCCCGGCGGCGCCCCGGCCGCGAGCTCCGTACCTGTGCGGGAAGGGCAGCCCCAGGGCGAGGGGGGCAGGCCTGGCTCCAGAATAACAAGTTGCAGAAGAAACGGAATTTTCCCGGCGCTGCTCGGGCCACAAAGACGAATGAAAGGAAGGAGGGAAGGGAGAAAAAAAAAAACCACACACACACAAAAAAAAAAACCGCAGCAGCGGCTTTACTACGAATTATCCATCACCGAAAGCAGCATCATTTCCCAGATAATAATAAAACTTCCCCGACAGCATCGCGGCGAAGGACCCGACAGAGAGAAAAGGGCCTGGAAATAATCATCCTGAAGGAAACCGGAGGGGAGGGGATAAACCTCCCTCCCCCACCCCATCCCCAGTGCAATGTGTCATCTCCTTCCCCTGCTCCTCCCCCCAACCCCAATGTGTCACCTCCTCCTTTTACCCCAAGTGTCACCCTCCTCCACCTCTCCCGCTCCCGCTCGCAAACT